AAGAGTTGTACTTAATGCTTTTAAGGAGTTTTTATACAGTTCATTGGTTAACGCGGTGGCTATGCATTGCAAATGAAACTATGTTCTCTGGTAACAAAAATAAGGCAGATAAATAAATAGTTTATATTTCCGAATAATGTGGTTTGCGAATAAATCCGACAGGTTGATGACTAACATCATCTAAGTCAGCCGTGACCTGTAAAGTGCCCGAAACGTAAGTTCATTAAAAAAAAATACACGCGAATAAAAATATAAGTAAATTAATTTGCTACTCCGCGAACCCAGTGAAGGTTAAATCGTGTAAAGTTGCTGCACTTGTGTTGAATATTTTTTCATGCAGTTAATTATCCCACCCTCCCTCCGCATAAAATTAATAAAATAAATAACACAAGCGCAACTAGCGTCATTGACACCATAACCAAAAATATACCAGACACGTCCTCAGGGGTTGATTGTTCAACGCTACTGCGGTGCGGTTTCATGCGGAGGGAGGATGTGACAATTACCTACATGAAAAAATACTCAACACAAGCACAGTAATTTTACACGCTTTAACATTCACTGGGGTACAACATCAAATGGCTTTGGTTGACTCCGCATACTTGAGGATATACACTGATTACTATGCGGTGTGAAAACACGATTCCAAAAAAACGATAGAAAAAAACACAAACTTACCTAGAAATTTTACAAGAAGACCGCTGTATTCATAGGTACTTATAATAGAATAGAATAGAAATCGTTTATTACTACGCCACAACAAAAATATACACAGCAATAAAATGAAGGTAAAAAAAAGATGAATCTAAATAAAAAAATAAAATAAAATAAAAGGAAAAAAAAAATCATACGCAACAACAAAGCAAACATTAAATATTCAACACAATTAGATTGAATGTCATGTGTGCGTATGCAACAGGATCCCACTCAGCTATTGTCACCACCGAGAAAAGGCTGTGACGCTGATTTTCAGTGGGCCCTAAACTTACTTAACATATATCAATGATTTTTTAATATCCACTGAACTAAAACACGTATAGTATACGATAGGTACACATTTTTCAAATGGCTTTATCCCGATGTATAACAAAACAAAATAAATACTGAAATAAAGCCAGTGTAGTTCGAGCTGAGGTATCGACTCTTAAATATACGCGACATTAGACAGATCCGAAAAATTAGTCTCATTTACATAATAGTGTTTGTTGTATTTTGGGTTACATTACCGTTAAAAAAACAAAATTAGAATAAAAAATAATAATACAAGTAATAAATATATCGTGCACTAGCCGACTGGATGAGTGGCATAAAAACTTTCGGTGGCTAATGTCTACAAGCATACCAAGTGTGGTTAATAGGCCCAGTCCTCTTTTGTTAGCGAAGTCTGTGAGTAACTCTGTAGGCTTTTGCGGTGCTCATAGTACATATTTACCGCGTTTTTTTTTATGTTAGAAAATCGGGTAATTATTACTTGCTACGGCAGGATATCGGGTAAATATTACAGGCTATCGCAGAATTTTACGGGCTTTATTAGAATATAAGTACAAAAAGTTATGGCAAAATATCAACGAGAGGTTACGTACTCTGTAGTCATCGTATAATTGAACTATTTACCGATTTGACATATTTGTATTAAGTATATTGTTTTCCTTTGTATTGTATTGCATTTACCGAATTGACATATTTGTATTAAGTATATTGTTTTCCTTTGTATTGTATTGCATGTAAAAGTAGTTTTGTTTTGAAAAGGTCTTAAATTTATAAATATTGTAATGGATCAAAAATTAACGCCATTACTACACTAGTAAATGTAATATAATCCCCAATAGTTCATGAACCAATGTTTTACGGGTTGGTTAAGAGTGAAAGGGTAAACCATTGAACAAGGCGATGGCGGCGCGTGATATTTGCATAGTAAAACTTTGAGAAAGACACATCCAAATAAAGATCTGTTCACGCACGGTTTAGAGTTGATATGTAGTAAAATAAAGTTTACATGACCGATTTATTCAGGTCAGAAGGCCGTCTTTATTGTATAATAACGTGTTTGGTTCAGTTCTCAATTCACTCACTGAGACAGAATTAGTCAAAAAGAAATGTCCAAGATTAATATCTCTAAAAGCGTATTTTAAAACCGTGGCTTAGTTGGTATAGTCTGACACGGTATGCTAGAAGACGTCGGTTCGAATCCGGCCGGATCGAAGGAGTTTTTTCTGAGTGTTTGATTTTTGTATTAATAATTATAAAGTATTTCGGTTGATTTAGACTTAGGGTCGTATTCCGGAACTCTACTCAATGCGCAAGTCAGGATTGCACTGGAAACACAAGCACTGGAAATACGACCCTAATGGCAGGGACTTGAGTATGATTTCGAGTGCTTTAAGCCATACTCAAATCCTGACTTGAGCATTGAGTAGAGTTCTAGAATACGACCCTCAGTCTCCACATTTTATCTTTCCGTGTGTCACTCAAAAACCTGGATTAGATCAAGTGAAAGACTATGGATTGGACTTCCATGTCTGCAGACTCTTTCTCTGAACCGTATAACTTGGGCCTTTTCAAGGCGAGAGTGCATGCTCCATCGTCAACTTGACCGTCACTTTCCATGATTCCTGATGCGATGGAAGTCAAATGTACACTCATTTAGAAAAGTAGTTTTGTATGTGGACACATATACTTTGTGACCCAACAACGGTTTGCACTGTAGACGCTAGATGGGGAGGTCTCGCATTGGATTCCCCGGTAGGACCAATTTCGGGAAATGAACCCAGACTGTTGGTGTGGTTGTCTGGCACATTATTGCCATTTATTATAATGTTGAAATAAAGACTTTATATTTAAAAATTTAGAATCGATAATTGCTCTAAAATCCCTGAGCTGTTAGACATTGTTGAGACAGATTTGACCCTGCTCGAAGAGTAGTACCGCGTGTAGCCACTAGATGGCATTACTTGTAGGCAGAAATGTGCAAGCACTTTGTTAACAAATTATTCGTAAAGTGTTAAGTTTGCCGTAGTTAAATAAATAGTGAATATAGATGAGTTGCTGTATTATTTGCATTGTGCAGTACAAACACGGTAACTAATTAACACTGCGTAGTACAACTAATGTCCCAATATGTACATATTATTATGTATTACCAAGTGACAGTGATACTGGGCTTTATTTCGTTGCATCAAATAGACTAAATTTATTCTATTGTTCCAATGACAAGACAATTTAGCAATTTGAACGAAAAATTACATTAAATAACCGTGCACAATCTGAACGTATACTCTAAAAAGCGCTATCATTGTTCATAGCCTCCATTTAGACTCCATTGTTTCGGGTGACATCATCTCGTAGAAAAACACACTTTGATATAGCTACTTGGTTATTTATAGATTTATAGATTTGTTTATGTCTGATATTTTAATTGGCGAACATTTGAAATGTATTAAGAACAGTTATAAAAAAAGGAAGATGTCATGCTGTTTTTAGTTTATTGAAATAACGCTATTATTTTTATGTACGAGTAGTTTAAATCTAAATATTTTTATAGGTTAATCTACACTATATTTACCTTAATTATTCATTTCGTAAAGGTTATAATTGGTGAAATTACAGGCACATAAGACTTGTCAACTGATGTCTCAGGGTGACAGGCGCAGAGGCAGTGCCCCCCAGATCTTTGCGATTTAAAGCTCTGAGTGGCACTGTAACTGTTATGGACAGGCGTGTAGCTTACCATCAGGCGCACGACTTGTTCATGCCGTCACTAAATATTATAAAATAAATAGCTTAAAAAAGTAATTGTATTCATAATAAGAAAACAGCTATGGCGAAGGGTCCGTATGCGAGGGTCCAATTGCTCATTTGAAATAAACTTAAATGCTATAGAGTAGGTACACTTTGAATCAAATTTGTGTGGAAATCTAAACCTATGTAGACTTTCCACACATCTTTATCTCACACGTAGTTTTCAATTTTTTAAGATACCTTTTCGATTAAAATACTGTTCATGTATGTTTTGAACTGACGAATGACAATCTTAATAAATGCTCGGGAATCTTAACTATTATATATAATAAACGTATACAGTTTCCCATAAAAGAATGAAACCTTAGTTAAACGAAATCGTGGTACCATGAGTTTGGACTTAGTTCTAAGGTTAATTATTATGGATATCTTCTTTCTTAATGAAATTATGCATATTTTTTACGGGAATACAAAATAATTGAGTAAATGTACTGTGATGCCACAGTCATTATACTAGTCTCCCTAAACTATTCTCTGAGAGAAACCCTAGAACTTAAACGGTGCAAACATTAAAAATTAGCAACTACTTTTTTTACAAGACTAATGTCCCTCTGAACTGAAGTCTATTGAAAAAATGAGGAGACGGTTGTCTTTCATTCCATACTTAGGATCGTATTCCAGTTGGCGCGGGAGCCCTGGCGTAAGCTAGGGCGGCCGGGCGGCGTTTTGGTGAATGTTCACCGACCTCACGGCGCCGACTTAACCGGCGAGAGGTAAACCCGGGGGGGGGGTTTTAGTGGGGTAGGCCCTCCAGCTTGGAGGGAGAGCTCCACCCACCGGAACCCACAGGAAATCTTTATATATACCCCTGACCCCAGGGAGACTCAGGGGTATCTATAAAGATTTCCCACCGTTAAAAAAAAAGGGTCGTATTCCAGAACTCTACTCAATGCTCAAGTCAGGACTTGAGTATAATTTCAAGCACTGGAACTACGACCCTAACGGCAAGGACTTGAGCATTGAGTAGAGTTCTGGTATGGGGCCCTTAGACTACTTTGCAGCCGCCCCTCGTAAGCCAGTCACCATTGGTTCGCCTTTCTAGAACAGAGTAGGATAATATAAGAGTAATGTAGCCACAGTTCTGAGCTACAGGTTACTATAGAACACCGCCTTTTAAATGCTTACGTAATTGTTTAAAAAAATAGAAGGAATTTCAGATGCCAGTCTACATTTCGTTCTAACATTTAGTTTGTCTTTTCCAGCGAGTGATCCAAGCCCTAGGGGTGTCATGGCATGCGAACCATTTCGTCTGCGCCAATTGCAAAAACGAGTTGGGCGGTGGCGGTTTTATGGAACAGGTAAGACTAAGCCTAGACAAGGTCCTTGAGGGACCTTATACAGGTGGCCTATTTACAGTCTACCAAAATTTTTTTAGATAGAGAACATTGTAATAACGCATTTGAAATAAATATTAGTTACGCGAAAACCAATAGTTTACAGGATACGATTTTTTATGTACTTCTTAAAACCACTTTAGTTTGAAAACTATTGCACTAAATTATTGAAATTTAGTATGGAAGCAGTGTGACCATTTAGCTAGTATGCAATGTGCCATTTTTGTGTTTGTTCTAAGATTGCGCTATTATTTTAGACCCTTCAGAGATTTTTTATTTGTTCACGAATAAAATGTAAAATTTACGGAAAATTCCTGACTGTGAAAGATGCACAAGAAGAATTTGCTAATGACCTTAAAATCTACATTAAGATGTAGGGATTGCTTACAAATAAAATTGTAGTATTGCAACTATTGTAACATCTTCATAAATTGACATGACGTGCACTGAGTCACTCATAGCTCAATTAATTTGTATCATAATCGTTATTCGACCAAACTCAATTTCTCAAAAGAAGCCCAGATTTTCCTTAATTATTCTCAAACCACAGAACATTTTCAAAACGGTACGTAAAAATTCATTACTTCTAAACTACTGATTTTCGCGGAATTAATGTTTATTTTAAGCACGTTGCTGCAATGTCCTCTATCCAAAAAAAAATTTGGATCACTGTAAATGGGCCAACCTGTATAAAAAGAACAAACATAACTCCTATTAAAGAATGCAGAATATTTGTTCGTGCAAAAGTTCCGAGTTGCTATAACATGAAAGTAATAGCAGCAGTAGAGCTCCTTGTGAAAGAGTTCATTTAGGGAAGTACTGCCACCTTGCCTATTTCTGCCGTCGAGCAATAATGTGAACATTACTGCGTTCCGGTTTGGGAGGGTTAAGGGTGTTGGTGAAATTAATGGTAATTGCCAACTTACGTCTCAAGGTGACAGGCGCAGTGGCAGTGGCCACACCTTTGCGATTTAAAGCTCTGCAACTGTTATGGGCAGGCGTGTAGCTTGCTGCCAGGCGCACGACTTGTTCGTCCCGTCACTTGATATCATAAAAAAAGAAGGAAGCAAAATGCTTCGTGTGTATGGGTGGTATATTAGTAGAGTGTCCCGGAATTTGCAGTCCAGGGAAGAGGAACAGCGAAGTTGGTACTAAATTTTAAAGTTCCTATGCACACACTCGTAAACGTATCAGATACAAAACCGACAATTAGACCTAAAAAAAAACAACGTAATGATTATTATAAGGTTGCTTGTAATTGACAAATTTCATTCATTTTTGTTGCAATAAATAATGCTTTATTAGTTATTTTTGATACAAGTGCGGAAAGTTAGTCATTATTCACGAGTCTCGAGGCTTCTTGGTCCGAGCCAGAGGCGAGGGTCAAGACGCGAGACAAGTGAAAATGACAAATCCGCACGTGTATCAAACGACGTTTTTTAATACATTTGCGAAAAAACTACATTGAAAGTAAAATAAAACAGTATTTTTAAAAAAACTCATTTTCTGCTAGTAAATTAAAATAATGAAATACAACCACTGCAACCATTATTTAAAAGTCTATGGAAATCTAGTTCTAACGTGCTGTTTTTGTTTATTTTCTGTAATATCGGTTTTTAACCACTTTTCTTATTATGAAGTCCTGGTACTTTTGTTTAAACTTTTTAGGAACCCGTGCACGGTAGTGAGATACAATTTATCTGTAATACATAGAACAAATAAATATATACATAAAAATCTCGCCTGTCACCCATTCAGGGGTAGGCAGAGACTGTGGACCTCCACTCGATACGTTCATTATATAGTATTTGTAAGTAAATATAAGTTTTAATGACGAATGACTTACGTCACAAAGCACATAAATATGAAATAAATATACAATCTCTTTAGTTCTATGTTTAAGACTTAAAACAACAGTAAATTAAAAAAAACTGGAAAAGTAAAAAGCACTAACTAGTGCGAGAAATCCAACTTTCCGCACGATTTGTAGTGCGAAAAATACCACGTTTTGAGCAACTGTATTAAAAAATATATTTAGAATCATAGTCAATATCAAGTGAATTCCAATGTTTTATTGCCATTTGAGTATCAAGTGATGTGGATTCGCAACCTTCATCTACGATGTATAATTTCAGGCCGGCCGACCATACTGCACGCCCTGTTATGGGGACAAGTTCGCGGCAAAATGCGCCGGCTGCGGCAAGCCCATCGTCGACAAGGCCATCATCGCGCTCGAGGCGAAATGGCATCGCGAATGCTTCACTTGCAAAGTTAGTATCTATCTTAGGGTCGTATTCTAGAACTCTACTCAATGCTTAAGTCAGGACTTGAGCATGATTCAAAGCACTAGAAATCATACTCAAGTCCTTGCCATTAGGGTCGTATTTCCAGTGCTTGAAATCATACACAAGTCTGCTCAAATCCTGACTTGAGCATTGAGTAGAGTTCTGGAATACGACCCTTAGATGTTCTCCTTTACTCAATTAGGCTTTAATAAATTCATTGCAGATCTAGTAGTTTTTCTCGCTGTGAAAGAGTCGACCAGGGAACTAATGCCACTTGACAAGAAAAAGCGTAAAAAGCCATAAATTAAAGATCGTAAACTAAATTTATCTATAATTGATTTATTTCATTTTATATAAAATTACTCCACTATTTTGTTATAATTATGAAATACAAAGATCGAACACAAAGAAAAAATCCTTCGATCCGATAGGTCTCGAACCTGCGACCACGGGATTCTGTCCCCCTTGCTTTACCAACAAAGTAACAGGTCGAGTTCACTAAGTCGACGAATTTCTTCTGTGTCTGTTAAAGATCTTTGCTTCTTTTTGGCTTTCGACACTGTGGTGACATCTGTGAGAGATTGTATGAACCTTCTCACTCAGCCGTTAACTTTCCAGTTACTAGCTGACGTTGATGTCGCTGTTTACGAACATATTATAAATTTATCTTTTTGTTTGTTTACAGAAATGCAGAAATCCAGTGACAGATTCGACTTTCTCTGTGATGGACAACAAACCTCTGTGCGGAAAATGCGCTTAAATTAACCTAACAAGTCACAATTATTTATAAGTCAATAGTCACACTGTAGTACGTGCTTTATCCATCGACAGGGCTGAGTTTGAACATAAGAATTAAATATTACATTTGATTGTTTGAAGGTCTGGACCTGAATGCCTACACATCGCTCGGAGCGTAAGGTTGCCACATTATTATTTTACTTATATCTACAGGTTGTATTCATAATTAAAAAAACTATTCAAAACAGTAATTACATATTGATATTTTTATATCAGATCGCGGATTGGTATCTCGATTATGCGACTATGATTACGAAATAGAAATGGAATGCTGAACAATTCAGAACTTGAAGCACTCTTGTTTAAACAACCATAAACACCACAACAAACATTTAGTAGCAGTGTTATTCACATTACAGCGTTCTGGTTTCAAAGGGTAAGGGAGCTGGTAAAATTACAGGCACATGGGTTTTGTCAACTTATGTCTCAAGGTGTTGGGCGCAGTGGAAGTGCCTCTAAGCTCTGAGTGGTACTACAACTGTTATGGACAGGCGTGATGCCTACCATCAGGCGCATGCTTGTTTGTCCCGTCACTTAGTATTTATAAAAAACTACGTGCTATGCAACGCGAGTGCCGCGCGAGACTATGCGAATGTGTGCGTCCGTACACGGCGCGAGGTAAGCGTGCACACATACAAACCACGCTGTTACGTTTGTATGGGCTTACCCTTCTTACCTTATTATTATATGACAAGAGCGATCACCTCCGACTGAAATATTACGATTATGGCGTGGGTGGAACAATTGTTTGCCAGCAAAAAAATCTCCCAAACAAATGTCTTGGATTTTTTTATACAGAACTGGAACGTGACAAACTCAATTTTATACAAAAAATATACCCAAGTGAAAATTTACAAATTTCATGTTCAATCTCAGCCTTTATTTTTTTTAATATGAAAGTGCACTTAATGAAACTTATTTAGACATGAGAGGTAATAATATTATGACAGTAATTTTAAACGTTGTATTAAGAAGTGAAAAAACAAAGACAAACTGTACATATACTATAGAAAGAAGCTAATTATACAAATTAACCATGGCTATTTAAAAAAACGATACGGTTATGAGACAGGTGCAATGAGTCACACCTTTCGTATTTCTGTTGAAAAGTACAATATATGTATAAACATAATAATGAAGGCATGTTGTAAACTGTAGTTATATTGTTACTATGATTATTATGTTCGTAGTCAAAATACTATTGTTAACATAGTGTTCTTTTAACAATACGTGACAAAAACAGAACAATATGGGAAGGTGTAAGAAATTGCAGTCGTCGTACGTCCTCGTGAAAATGTTCGCCCGGGTTAGTACTGCCACCTTACCTAATTCTACCGTCAAGCTTTAATGTGCGCACTACTGTGTTTTGGTTTTGAAGGGCAGTGGCAGTGTCCCTCAGATATTTGCGAGTTACAGTTCCGAGGGGCACTGCAACTGTCATGGATAGGCGTGTCGCTCAACACCAGGCGCATGACTTGTTCGTCCCGTCACTTGGTACTATAAAATATCCAATTATAGATTACATGCCTAAAGAGCGATGGTAGCCTAGTGGGAGAACGATAACTTCTCAATTAAAAGGTCGATGGTTCGATTTCCTTGGTAAGTACTAATGACTCATTCGAAGTGATCTTGGAATTATAAAAAAGTGCTATGGTTGAATTTGTATAATATCCTTTATTTATTGTCTAAGGCACTGTAACGCTTTTTGGGCTTTCATAAATAATTTATGTAAGAAATTTCAAATCAGAGATTTTCATAAATGTACGCTTTACTTAATTTCAATTTTTTTTTTCAAATAAATTATTTTTATTTTTAATCTTTCGTCTTTCAATTTCTAATGTATGAAATTTGTGAGTGTTTAGTAGCAACAGCTTTTACTAAAAGTGAAGAAAAACATCCTTCACAAATGTGTGCAATCATCAACGTGTATTTGATGGCCGTGTCCTCTTGCTCCTACTGGGTGCTCCTACTGGTAGGATATAATATGTCCTTATGCTCCTATCGTAACGTCGTATCTAATAAGTACACTGAAATAGAATAAAAAAATATATCAAAATAAAAGTCAAAAATATCTTTATTTCATAGATAACAAGATTACACACGAAATCGTCGTTTGCGCTTTTTCGTAAGGCAGATTCCCCTGAGACGAATGATCAAGAAACTCTAGGGGTTGCTCTTAGTAATTAAAATGTACATACAGAAACAACTTGAAAGAGTTAAACGGATCACTACTATGGATTTTTGTCATCCAAGTACCTACGCAGAAGTTGTATAATAACCTTTAGTATAAAGCTTTTCTTTTACTATAGTTATAAACCGCGTAAATGGCAAAGTTTGAAAATCAACCGGAATCTTATTATATACGTAGATAGAAGCGTACATTGTGACAGTACATTAGTAGGAGCACGAGGACTTATTTCGACCCCTCCGACGTAAAGTATCGTATATCGAAATTGCCAAGTTTACAGGGAAGCGTTTTAAAGTTCTGAATTCACTGAAACGAACATAACACGTGATTTTAGCATTTCTCAGTTTTATTCGGCAAAGCTCATTACTCACATAGAGTATTATAAAATCCTAGATATCGGTTAGATGATCTATGGTGATCACTCTTTCAGTGAATTCAGAACTTTAAAACGCTTCCCTGTAAACTTGGCAATTTCGACATACGATACTTTACGTAAGAGGGGTCGATTTATCCTTTTGGTCCTACCAGTAGGAGCACCCAGTAGAAAGGCCTATTAGATCAGCATAGCGACCTTATAGCCTAATCGATGGGTAGTGATGATGATCATTGTTCCATCGACTTAACCTATGTGGCTCGATACGATTGTCATTCATTGATCATTAAACAGGTGTCTCTTTTCACTTCGAATTGAGGATATAGGGCGATACAAAGCTCCATTGGCGACGTTAAAACATACTGGTTGATGACCTAAACGTAATGACTTTTTCATCACACTTGCACGTGAATAATGTGATTTTATGCAGGTTAACTTGACTATAATGCACGACTGTTTATTTGGGGCATTATAGTGAATTTAGCCTGTATGCAATCATACTATTTACTCGCAAATGTAATGGAAAACATTGTATGTTTCACGCGCGTTACGGGAACTATGAACCTCGATTCCGTCTTCGACTTCGGTCTTCTAATAGAGTGTCGTTCGTAATTCCTTGTTTACCGCCTTTAAAACACAATGTGCTATTATTGTCCTGGTTGAACCTATTTTTTGATGTTTAAAAAACTGTTATTCTTTAATAGATTTTTTTGTATAGGGAGCAACTATCAACTTGCCGTCAAATTGTAGTTCGTACAATTTTTAACCGACAGCAAAAAGGAGGAAGTTTTCAATTAATAATAATAATAATAACGCACACACTCAACATAGCCCCGCACTAGGGAAACCCTGTGTCGCGGGTGCCATGGACACACACACGTAGACAACCACAAATTACACCCAAACTCACGAGAGAAATAAATGTAAGCCATACAAACATTTCTCCCGGCCCGGGAATCGAACCTGGGACCTCTGTGTGGCAGTCCGGCATGATAACCGTTCGGCCACTATTTTTACTAATTTGACTGTATGTTTTTTTTTTGTATGTATGTTACGCGATAACGCGCATTTGTGAACCGATTTTGATGATTCTTTTTCTTTGTTGGATAGAGGGTACCTCAGTATTGCTCCCATTTAAATTTGAAGTAAATATTCCACCTCTAAGGGTGGCAATCTAGGGTATTAATGACTTTTGAGGTCGGTTTTTCTACACTTGGCGAGAACACTAATAAGAGCCGATGCACACGGTGTATTTTATACGTGCCGCAGACATGCTGTAGTGAATCGATTCAAATGCGCGCAAACGTCGTGTAGCTAGCCAGAAGCTTAAATACTCCACTAGTTTACACTTACATTTTCATGTGGTTGCTTCATTTCAAAAACTAGCTGAAATTAACAAACAAAACTAAAATTAAAACTATCTCTTATGAAAATGCGCGTACATACGCGCGACTACAACGTGTCTGCGGTGCGTATAAAATACGCCGTGTTCTAGGATGTTAGTGACTATATGCAACTGACTGCAACCGTAGCGGCTTGCGCGATTATTTTTGCGATATTCTACATACAAATGCAATCGCGTATGGCATACGAATTATTTGAATAAATAGGACTCGCGCGAGGCCAGCCGCTCGCGACTAGCCTCGTAGTAGAAAATTAGTGTTAAGAAGTGTGCAGCACAAAGACGTACCTGTTGCGGGTTTTTGTCGTGGCGGCCGTGCGGCGACGGCTTGCGGCTCACCGGCTGGACGTGGTCGCCGCCCTCCGCTTGACTCTCACCTTCTAGGTGAAGAAGATGTTATTGCCAAATCGTTCAATCACCAATTCTTTTCGATAACAATTAAAATATCATGAATAAAGTGAAAATTAATTCATATATTTAAGACATTACAAAAAATTACGTATGCGCTAAATATGACTAAATTCCATTTTATATGAAATTTGATTTTGTTTATTTTCTAATTTCAGTTTCTTAAAAAAGTTAACATTTTATTTATCATTGAAAATGTGAATTTTATATAAAATTACTAAATTTTTATAAAAGGGACGATAGAAAGAATAAGGAATATAGTTTTTATACGGAAAAGTAATATGTGACACACTCCAGTTTTCTTTACATTTTTGAAAAATCAGTAAACACTCAAGATGGCTCTGTGCAAGGATTATAGTGCGCTACCCACCATAGGACACAAGATCTCGAATCTCCCACCTTTTAGATTGCATTAGGTCTCAATCCCATCAATCCGGAACAGAGCAGTGGCTGCCTTGGGGATGAAATAAGTTATTGTTCAAGGTTCTACGTATGTACCCAGGTTGCATCACAGGTAAATATGTGGCAAGAATAATAAGCTCGGTTTGCCGGAGTGCAACCTGGACTCCAAGTCTGTTTTATTTTTTTTGAAACCACTAGTCATAGTAAACCCATTGAGACTCCAATGAGATTGTATTGCAATTATGATAATATTATTCTGTTAATATCTAGTTGCAGTGGAAGTTGAATGACAATGATGACATTCGTTCATTTCATCCCTCGTGAATGTAATCAGAAATAAAGACCAAAACAGGGCCATCCATCCATGGCAGCTCATCAGGCAAATGGGCCTTATATCACTTTTAAATATCAACTCTCGTTTGCGCTGAAATCACAAATGAAGTGCCAACAACTGACCTGTGTGTACGTCTCCGTATATTCCAAAAATATTCTGCATTTATTGTAATAAAGATAATATTATCTGTACAATGGGGCCTGTTCCATTCGGTGGTGTGGGAAAACAGCAAAACATCTAATTACAAAACAAACGGAATCGCATTTCATCGGTAATTAAATATGTAATTTTGCAATTCTCGTCCATATAGCAAAGCTCAAGTTAAACTGGTCGATTTGAAGTGAAATAATTGACGACACCCGTCAATTGTTTCGAATTCCGGCTGGCCAATCGGAATGCAGTTGTCACCGTAATGATTTGGCAGAATAGTTTTTTCACTTCAGTTTGATTAACTTTGAAAAACTTAATTTTATTTTCATTTGCAAATAATAAGTACTGGGTTGAGTTTTGTAAGCGTTCATTTAATTAAGACTTTATGACAAAATTACATAATAAGTAGGTAGTGTTCATTTGATTTGTTACCTTTTTTTGTTCTCACAGAAGTTACTATTTGTGATAATTTACTGTATCTTCTTACTTCTTCCTCCTTTTTTTGGTTATTCGGCCGAATAGTGATTTAATATTCGGTATTTGGCCGAATGTTAAAAAATTGGCCAAATAAGCCGAACACCGAAACAGTAACCGAATATTCGTTGCAACTCTAATGGAAACTTTTAGCAGAATACCAAACGATTTAAAATTAACCGACTTGGGGGCCTGGAGGATGTGAGAGGAAGAACCAAAGTAACCTGAGCCCGAACTACAAATAAATCTTTATCATCAAATTGGTGGAAATTGATCTATCACTACATTACCTCGCTCTGACACAGGTTTCACGCCGTCTTCTGTCTTCTGTTGGTTCTCAAGTTGGTTCAAGTCGATATTCAACGTAGCCGCTACGACGGGTGAACTTGGCGCTGCATTTTTTCTGGAAATTTCAAATGAAAAAATAACATATTTGTTATTTTTTCTATTATATTTCTATATTTGTTATATATCTCAGGCTAAGATCTTGTTCTTGCATTTTTGCAAGACCAATGTCACCTAATTGATGCCTCATGAATTCTGTCGCATATCAAGTTGAGAAACGATTGCAAACAATCTTCGCAATAGTTTTGAAATATTTTAAAGTCAATTTTCTGTCAATTGGTTGCCCTTCACTATACCTATTTCATTAATGTACTCAACATGTGAATACCAGTTGTGTTGTTGCAAAATCTGAACCAACAATGTCATTTTTTGCAAGAATATAATATGATAGTTTGATAAGTAGCAATAGGTAATTGAAAGACTTGCGAAATCATTGCAGTAAGACCGAAACCAAGACCAAGACTGGGTGTGCAATATCAGGACCGACACCAGGTGTACTGATGTCAGACCAAGACCTTTGGGGAAAAGTCTCGTCATGGCCTTGGATGGGGCAACACTTTATAGGACATCTCAATTATTGTAACAAAATTACTCGATAAAAAAAATTTTTGAGAAAACTAATAATGGCACGGTTTGCTAGAAGACGTCGGTTCGGTTCCAGCCGAATCGAAGGAATTTCTTTGATCAGAACACAAGATTCTTTGGTCTCCGTATTAATAATTATAACAATTAGTTTTTTAAGTAATTTCACAAAAATCTAATTGAATATCGTGGTGATGAAACATCTTGACATTCAGTACTCTTAATTAACGCAATTACAGTTACAAGTCGTTCGTAATTTATACATGAAAACGGATTGAGTACAGAAAGTGCGGCTGCACCTGGGCTTGGGCCGGGCGCTGCGCGGGCTGCGCGGGGAGCAGCGCGACTTGCGCGACGGCGGCGGCGCGGGCGTCGGCGCCAGCGACTGCCAACAGGACGACGTCAACTCACAGCCAAAACCTGTACACTTACTTCTGCTCGTTACAAAATGTTGCCTGTCGGTCGTTGAAGCCCTATCTACCGACTCCGAGAAACAGGGTTTTCCAAAGAGACTACAAGGCCAGGGTACAGCGGGGTACGGGCTTCACGAGCGTCGCTGGCGGACCCGGACTCGGATGTGGACTCGCTGGGGTTTGTGGTGAGCTGCATAGACGGACATGTTTGTTGCATGCGGCCGGGGCGTCTGTCTCGTGCGCAACTAGCGCGTCTAAGTAGTGATCTAGTTGAGGGCCTGAAGCGAGGAGACGCACCGGGCACGTGAGTTGCTCTTTAAGATGTCCGGACATTGTCGCAGGGCACTGCGACTGGCATCTCCGGCACTAGCCCGGAGAGCTAGTAGAGGATAAGCTAGATATCCTCCGGTCCATCCAGTTGTTTAGATCATTGGGACCTGAAGAGACGTCGTTTTTCGGCGTCCGGAAGTGAGCGTGCCTTATAGCTCCGCCACCAATAAGGAGATTTGATAGTGGACTTAACTAACAATGCGTAACGGAAAGTGAGCATGCCTACAGCTCTGGTACCTATCAGGCACTGTATGTGCACACGGGGCGGCTCACATGCGGCACTAGCTTGAGAACCGTCTCTGGTGGACGTAAAGGCATATCACCGGCGGAGGGCTTGGCCAGGACGCCCGCTGTACCCTGGTCTTGCCGTCGAGCCCGTAGCCTCTCCGGAAAGACCTATCTTTCGTGTCAGTAGGTAGGGACAAATTTTAATAAGATCTATATTTTCATCATTAAACTCGAATTTTATTTTATTCTTGATGGCGGTAATAAACAAATATTAATTGGGATGTTTTATTTTATTTGGTTTTTTTTTTACCAGTGGCAACTAATTTTAAATTCTATTTGCCGCTTGTGGCAACAACAGATCTTTTTATTCCCACCACCACCAGTTACCACCTGGTAACACATGGGATTTTTTCCCCATTTGTCGCCAGTGGGAACAAACCAGTGGTGACAGCTGGGAACAAGCGGGGAAAAAGGTGTTCCACATATTATTATATAGATGCATACAGTAAAACTATTTCCGGAAATCCGGAAGTGGAAAAAAGTAATTAATTAATATTTGGCGGTTTTAACAACTTTATGTCGCTCCTTGCGCTCCTTCTTTTTCCGGCCAATGCACATAACGTTAATTAGACTACCAGGGTCACGCGGTACGCAACGTTTAAATTGAATAAAATTCCTAGAAAATGTAGAGCGTGGTTCCTTTCCTCCAGAAGTCGCGGTTTCAGCGACCGTCGTTTGTGGGCGCACACAAGGGATCTTGAAACGTGTGTGCCGGAGGGACGCCGGACCCACCTTGGTCGGGCGCTTCGGCGCGGCGTCGGGCGGGCGCGGCGAGGGCGTGGCCGCGCGGCTCGGCGAGCGCGACGGCTGCGGCAGACACGCACGGCCTCAATGCCACTAGTAACGCGGACCGGTAACCCGGGAGGGTTGCCGGTCCCCGTACTACAGACCGTACTCTGGAAAAGGTCCAAGTTCCGTCTTATACCTAGGTCGACCGACACCCGAGAATACTTTATATTAAAGAAACGGCACCACGGCCGTTTAAAGAGGAATTTACTAATGTCTACATATTAGTAAATTCCTCTTTAAAACGAAACGTAAGAAGTCCTTTCTTCCCCTTGTAATACTATTCAGATACTGATCGGAGCGGTGCCAAGAGCCGGCGTCGGACGTTGCAGACTACTTTACCAACGGACGCTCCGAACGGCGGCAGAAGGCCCGACCCTACACGAAATGGAGTCCAAAGCGGCCGTACCCCCGGCACGTCGCGCAGACTGGGCACGGCGCTGGCCGCGTCGGCGGCCTCGCTGGCGGCCACGGCCTGCACCAGCGTCTGGATGTCGCCGTCGCGCACGCGGCGCCCGCGCCCGCGGCCCGCGCCCGGCGCGCGCATCAGCGGCCGCCGCGGCCTGCAAGCACGAAGCCTGAAGCCCGCGTCGGCTCCGTCGGCCGGCTCGGCGGCTGGCGAAACGGGCTGCCTCCGTCGCGAAGCGGCTTTTACGTACACGTTTCCCCAATACGTATAATATTACATAATATACAATATCAGTATTACACCTCCAGAAAGACGCCAATCTAGGCTTGCTTCCTCGACCTGTCCTAAGCTTTCGATCTTGTATCGTGTGACACGACATGACATGGTTGTGGAAAAAGTTGCAGGAGAAGACTAGTCTTCCGATCGAAGTAATATGCCTATTTAAATACTGGTACAATAACCAGGACAACTACGTTAGATGGGCAGCCTCGATATCGAGCGTGTACAGATTGGAGTGTGGAGTGAGAAAAGGTGGATTTACCTCTCCTAGTCTATTCAACCTGTATATAAATAGACTAATTGATGAGCTCAGCAACACCGAAGTCGGATACTCGATAAGATGGAATTTCGGTGAACAATATCAATTATGCAGATGCCATGGTGTTGCCGAGCCTTTCAATTAGCACTCTTCGTAGACCAATAAGTATATGCACCAAATATGCAGAAGCTCATGGATTGCGATTAAACGCGCCTAAGAGCGAACTAATGGTTTTTAAAACGGGTAGCAAAACCTGGAATAACGTCCCAGATGTTATACTAAGTGACACTCCACTTAAATGAGTCACTGAATTTAAATATCTGAGGCACTGAATCTCCTAATCTTTAAAAGACGATTTAGAGTTAGAAAGGGAGTGTAGACCGTTGGCAGTAAGAGGCAACATGTTGGCCCGTAGGTTCGCAAGGTGTAGTAACGTTGTAAAGATTGTCCCCTTCAAGGCATATTGCCAGTCTTTTTATTCTTGCAGCATCTGGGTCAACTATACCTTAAAATCTCTTAGCGCCCTACGAATTTTGTACAATAACATATTCAGGATGTTGTTGAAGCTGCCACGATTTTACAGTGGATCGGGGATGTTCGCCATAGCTGAAGTCGATAGCTTTGCAGCGAAAACGAGCTGCTTCCCTGGCGCATAGAGTTCGTGGCAGCAACAACGGCCTCCTGAGTATAATTGCAAACATAGTCCAGGGTTCTTTTCATGAGCACTGGTCCCGATTGCATATTAGTTTTAGAAAAAATTGTTATTTGTAGTACCAACTCTATTTATAAGTGCTTTGTTACTAACCTCTATGGATGAATATTCCGAAATAAAGATATTTGTATTTGAACAAATTATATAAACAAGTTCTTCAATTCTATTATGTAATCGCTGCCTCGGGCCGCACTATAAGTGCGTTGACTAAGTTTCTGTTTGTCCAAAACGTGGGAACAAACGCGACACGGACTAAGTT